TTTGAGGAAGATACAAAAGATAATTAAGGGTGGTAATTGTGGTTTTGACCTAATTCCAAAATATTTCTCTTCCGTTAGATTGAGCTCCAGGACTTGGACTATGGGTCAACTCTGTGTTGTGGCTATTACTGCAGCCCTGACCAACTGCTTCCACATCTTGACAGGCCTTGTTCACAAAAGGAGACAAGTCAGAGAGGGTGGGAGCTCTCACACTGGAAAATTAACTCCGTGAGTATGCTGTGCTGATATGGAGTTGCTGGGGGGAAAAAAAAACTTTGTCAATTAGAATGGCAATCTATTTGTCAATCAGGCTCCATTTTATTTTAATTCACCAATAGTCAATCAGAAATAGTCTATTCATGGCATATTTTTGGAGATAAAAAAAATTTAGACCAAAGAAAATGGGAAGAAAAATGGATTGTCCTTGATAATGGCCTTGCAACCAACAGAGCATGAATATAACCCAGCTTCCTCCTGCCCCCCCGCCATTTCCTCCCACTTCTGTTTAACTCTAAAAGAATAAATAGCATCAATATTTCTACAAAGGAGAACACCATCACAGAAATACATGATTTAATTTAAAAAATGTATTTTTTTTCTGAATTAGGAGAATTCATTGTACAGCGTTAAAGGGTTGGTCTCCGAGGAAACGCGGCTAATGGAATGATATGTATACTAAAGTGGTTAGCGCAGTTCCTGGGCATATATTTAGGACCCAGTAAAAGTTAGCAGTCATGGTTATTGTTGTTGTTGAAGCAGAGCGCTGGTTCTGCTTCCTTAACGCAGAGTGGTGGTGGGTAATGTAATCCTTCTTTCACAGAGACAGTCCTGCCCAGGGGCTCCCTCTGTCCTCAAGGTGACCCCAGAACCTAGACGCTTCAGGATAAAGAACTCCAGTAACAGAAGTGTGGCCTTTGTGAAGGGAAAGTTCCTTCAATATGGAAGATCAGTGCCCAGGCAGAAAATATGGACGAATACAGAACTGACCAATCAAACCCTCCTTGACTGGAATTCCTTCCTGCTTTTTCTTACCTCTCTGCTCTATACCTTAATGGGCCAAGTTCCAAAAGAACTCTAATCAAAATTTGCTCGGCCAGCTCTACCACATACCACCTTGGTCTCCTTAACCCTTAAAACTTGTCTAGACCCCAGAAGATATAGCAGTGCCTTCCGTCTCCTGGGTGTGGACTCGGCAATAAAAAGCTGACTTTTCTAAAAGCCAATGTCATAATGTTGTCTCCCATGTGCATCAACCGTTGCGCAGTAACATTGTTATCTTTTCATGGTTGCTGTAATCACTGTTTTTTCGTGTTCACTGTGAATCTGTGGGAGAAAGAAACTGTATATTGAAAGGCTGCATTAGGATTTTACAATCCAGATTAAATCTTATGTAACATTGTGTGTGCATGACATTTTACTTCTGGAATTTTTATATCCAGTGCCTGTGATAAGGAAATGTGCAGATTCATCTATCCGAGGTCAAGGTCCATGCTTGGGCTGTTCCAATCCTCTGGCCCACGTCTCAGTACCAGTTCCCTATTCTGCTCTTTCAGGGTTTTGTCCTCTGTTGTACAGGGAACCTGGGAGATCTCAGAGCAATTCATTGGCGCTTGACTATTAAAACTGAATACGTTAAGGTAAGTAACTTTTGGTGTTACAATTTTTAGCTCTAACAAAGTAATTAACTTGATCCAACGAAAGAAAATGCTGGATTAAATTAGAATAAAAATCCAAATGTGAAGTTCTGCCTCCTCTTCTGTTTTGTTCTGTGTTGGCTCGCTTTCTAATCTTTCTCCAAGCAGGTAGGCCAGGATATGGGTGTCCTTTTCTGCAACCCCTCCTCCAACAGGAGGACCATGGCCTGCAGAAAGAGTATTTTAATGATGTGAGAAGATTTTAGAAAGAACTTTGGAGAATACTATCTGGATGCAGCCTTTGTTGAAGAGATGTCTTTGGGAGATTGAAGTAGCCAAATCACTGTCAATATGTAGAAAGGAGAATACTTGTAGGATAAGATTATGAACAGCAGTGTGAAGCAGAGAGTACTCTAAGCCAGTGGTTGGCAAACTGTGGCTCGCGAGCCACATGCGGCTCTTTGGCCCCTTGAGTGTGGCCACGAAGTTTCAATCGCACTGTACGTGCACGCCTGCAAGTGGTATTTGTGGCAGAGCCCCACTCAAGGGGCCGCAGTTTGCCGACCACTGCTCTAAGCTATTTTTCCTATATAACTGCCTGAGGAGGATTTGGTCTGGAACTTTAAATCTCTATTTCTCTAGCACAGTGGTTCTCAACCTTCCTAATGCCGCGACCCTTTAATACAGTTCTTCATGTTGTGGTGACCCCCAATTTCATTGTTACAAATTGAACATAATTAAAGCATAGTGATTAATCACAAAAACAATATGTAATTATATATGTGTTTTCTGATGGTCTTAGGCGACCCCTGTGAAAGGGTCGTTCGACCCCCAAAGGGGTCGAGACCCACAGGTTGAGAACCGCTGCTCTAGCACCTAATGCAATGTCTGGCACATCCTACAGGCTCAAGGATTTGAGTTATATGTAGAATTAGGAGGAGTCATTTACAGTGGGGCCTTGACTTACGAGTTTAATTTGTTCGGAGACCGAGCTCGTTAAGGAGCTCGTTAACTCAAATTACTCTATCAACTCAATGCAAAAAATAGGCCAAGAGAGCTGGTATCTCAAAAAACTCATCCGTCGGGACACTAGTAAGTCAAGGCCCCACTGTATTGGGTTTCCATAGAATAACCAGAGGAAAAAAAACTATGATTAGGGAAAGAGGGAGAATAAGCTAATAACAGAATGACTAGTGCTCTAGAGAAAGAAAGGAAAAAGTAAGGCAGGCAGTAGAGAGCAAAGGTTTAGAAGGTACAAGATGGATCTAATATTGTTTACACTAAAAACTTTTTGCAATAAATATCTGTAATATTAAAAGTGTAATATGCTAATTAGACCGGACATCCTTTCGATGAAGTCGGGACTGCGAGGGAAGCCCGGGTCACGGGTGCCAGAGGGAAGCCGGTTCCGGCCGCCAGGGGAAGGAAGGCCTACTCTTGCACGAATTTCGTGCATTGGGCCTCTAATATTATATAATTATCTTAAGCAAATGTGCTATTCAAAAATAATAATTCCAAAAAAGTAATTATTTTTTTACAAGTAAAAAATCGTTCCCTTTAGAGAATGTTTTGCCACCCTAAATACAACCAGCCCAGGTAGATAGAAATTTAAACTTAAAAAAAAAAAATAGAGTGTGTCTGCACAATTGTGTTGACAATTCTGGTGAAGTTTAAACAGTACAGAGCAATAACCCTTTTTCGTATCTGTGAGTTAATAAAATAAACAGCTGTTAACACCCTAGGAAGACAAGACGCCTTTCCTAATGAATCTCTGAGGAGTCATTTATTTGATATAAAGAACCATTTTTTATTCTTTTGAGCACTGTTGCTGGCAGACATTGATATAACTCTCTGGAGGCTCTTTGCAAGTCCACATTGTAGCTAAGTTGAAGAAATAGGGAGGTATATTGAACCTTTTTAATGCAAGATTGACATCTCAATAAATCAAAGCCCATAAAGAAAAGGAATTAATAAAGAAAAAGAATAGAGACTATCCAACAGAAGGACCACTAGTTAAAATCACTGTCTTTACTAAATGATTTATTCTGTTTTGTTCTTCTAATTATCTCTTAACATTTTTTTAAACTTTTTTGTCCCTTACTGGACAGAAACCATCAACCATCGGTATGTGCATATTTTAAAAAATGAATAAAACCTATGAGTATGTGTATATATATTATATATACACTGAGTGGCCAGATTCTTATGACCACCCCATCAGTACTTCGTTGGGCCACCTTTTGCCTTCAATACTGTGGCGATTCTTCTTGGCATTGACTCCACGAGATGTTGAAAGGTGATGCGAGGAATCTGACACCATGCCTGATGAATAGCACTGCCCAGTTCTGTGAGATTTGATGGTTGTGGAACCAGCTGCCTGATGGCTCTTTTAACTTCGTCCCACAAATGCTCCATTGGATTGAGATCTGGTGATTGTGGGGGCCACGTAAGCAAGGTAAAGTCTCCCTCATGTTCTTGAAACCACTCCTGCACAATACGAGCACCGTGGCATAGTGCATTGTCTTGTTTGAAGAAGCCATCTCCATTGGGATACGCCATCAACATGATAGGATGAACTTGATCAGCAACGATTCTTAGGTATGTTGTGTTATTCAGACATTTATAATGATCTGGCCCTCTAGCAACTCTAGCGGGAAATTATAGCTAATTTGCCTACAAACATCAGGTGGTCATAATAATCTGGCCACTCAGTGTATACTCAGAGAGAGACACGACACATATAAACAAACAAATAAATCACCGTCTGTTTTCTTAGGTAGAAAAGAGTCTTTGACTAAGAATCTATTGAATTCTGGCCAAAGTTATTACCTCAGAATGGCTCTTTGCTTAACTCAAGTAGTGGAGGTCAAGGAGTTTATAAGGTTCAGGCAGCAGCGTTCTCTCTGGCCCACACTGTGCAAGAAGCCGGTGGCATGCGGGGTACAGGCTAATAAACTGTGGGTCACAGCCTGCAGAGAGCACTCTATTTGATAGTATCATGTATGACACACCACTGGTTTTAACTCTACTACATCTTTTTTTAATGACCAATAAAATCTTGCAACAAAATTAAATGATCATAATTAGTAGCTATGGAGTTGGAGTTGCCAAGATATTTCCAAAAACGACCACGGAAAGCAGTGACACTCTTTTATCTTTTAATGATGTTAACAAGGCTCTGCTAACTTCCCATTGTTGGCAGAACTACTCTCTCTGCCGGTTTAGACTAGATTTAACTGCTACAATTGATGGGTTCTTGGAGCACATGTTACAGAGTTCTCCTAGATATGCACTAGGAGTGTGGCATGTTCTAGGTTTTGGAAAAGAAGGAAGTCCAAGAAAAAAGGGCACCAGTCAGCCGTGTGATCCTGTTCAAGCATGCACATGTTTTATTTAAGTATTCTCCAAAGGTCTACTTTTCCAGCATAATGCAGATATTAGGCTACCCTTTAAAATAAAGACATATGAGTTTCAAACCAAATTGCCCAAAACAATGGCCTTGGTTACTCCATATGGCACACAGAAATTATTACATTTCACTTACAATACAGATGCACTTAACACAGTCATCAAGAGTCATTCACCACCGGCACAGTATATTTTTAAATCACCTGAAACACCAAAAAGTTTCTTTTTCTTTTCCAAAAAGTCTAAACAAAGTAATAGTTTGGGATAAATGATAAGTTGAAAAGGAGGCAGAATTGTTAACTGAAATAATCAAACTGAACTGCATTTTTTAAATGTAACGTTCAGAACACAAAAATAGAACTTCTCATTGGGAATCAAAAGACCTATGTATTCTCGATGGTGGTTTCTTTAGTCTACTTTTTAAAAAGATTTTCAACAAATGCCATCAAAGAAGTTTCACTATATATTTGCTCTAGAAGCATAAAGTGGCATGAGGCAGGTGTTAATATAATCGTTAGTATTCACACTCCAGGAAGGTTAGTAGCTTTTTAAAAGACATTCTAGAAATAAAGGCAATTCTTCCCGAGAGAGAGAAGTTTGTCTTCATTTCACTCAGCAAATGCTGATTAAAATCTACCGTGTGCACAGCATTGTTCTAGAAGCAGTTCTAGAAATGGGAAGCAAGAACCTCTGGCTTCACTCAAAATAGTTGGATTAATTCCTTTTTATGATAAATTATGATAAGCATTTAAAAATCTCTACAGTAGAGGGATAATTATTAATTCTTTCCATGTATGGAGCTAAGCTTTATTCCTTAACACTGGTGGTTTGAAATGAACAAAACTTTTCATTTGACATAAAACATTTTTACACTGTCACGTGCAGACATGTCTGCTGATATATTTTAAAGGTGAAAAAGTATCGAGACTTTTTACTGAAATGTACATAGAGATCAACTTTGCATCATCAAACTCCTGTCCTCCTGGTTTAGTGGAGAAAATGACTCCTTGCCTTATACAGGAACCTTTCTGAGATAAACTTGGGTTGCCTTTCCAGGGGCATAGAAAGCGTGCTTTTCATCAAAAATTGTTACATAAACCACTTCAGTTTATCTCTGCATTTCAATTCACATGAGTTATTCTCAAAATTTATTCTAGATCTAAAGCAAAATAAATAATACATCAAGTGAGATTCTGGGATCATTGATCCGGTGATAATAGTCCCAGCCAACTCTTTGTATAAAACATACAGTGGTACATCCAATAATTGGGCTTTTCCATGACAGCAAAGAGGTTAGAAATAATTCATGGATGTGAACTCCTTTTTTCTAATTTTTGATGAGAGGATTGTTGATGATAATCGACTTACAAGATGATTTGTTGGGGAATACAAAAGTAGGAAAGTCCATTGAACTACAAAACGTTAGTCCAGGTGATGACAATAAACCCAAAAGAAATGTTAGCACAGGAACAGGAAATGCACTGTCATGGGGACAAGGTGGATCAAAGAATATTACTGAGAAACATGTATGACACAAGAGTTTGGGATTAAAAAGTTATCTAAAACCTGGCCACACTAGACGTTTTCCTATGAATGTGGCTCTTACAGAATTTATGAAAATCTGGAAAGTCTCACAACAAAAATCCCGATTCCTGATACAACAGGTGTATTATGAATTATTGCAGTTGTAACAGTATCTAGGTGCAAGGTAAAATGATAATACCGCACTATCTGCACACTTTAGATTTATTATTGAGCATCCCCGTGAGAAATGCTGCAGTTCCAATAGTTTATTTGCACAGCCCACCATGGGACATGAACATCCAGCTTGTAGTAAGTGCACAGAAATTCCCCCTCTCTACATTTATAGTTTATCATGCCTATTCTGAAGACAACATAAGGAAACTGAGATCACTACTCCAAAGAATCCTAGCATGCATTATGATGGTTTCCTTCAGTTAATACAAATGTGTTGCGTGAATTTTTCAATATGCAATAATCTTCATCATAGCCAATGTTCATGGTTTTAACAGGAAATATTTTTATCAAAATGTTTTCCATATTTTTTTTTGTTTTGCATTCAACTGAAACATTAGGTTCAAAGATTTATTTTATTTTATTATAAAAGAGTTCTGGTCATAAGAAGCATCAATAGGCGGCATTTCATTGTGCTCATTCACAAAGCCGAAGGGCCACAGACTATTCCTCGGTACAACAGGTCAAACTCTAAAGAAATGCCATTTGGTGGTTTTATTTCCATCCTCTGGTTTGGAAGCTTTGTTTTTGTGTCACTACCAACCTTCTTGCTTCGCCATTTTCAGCTGCAAAACGTGTATCTTGTCTTCTTTCTTCCACATTGGAATTCTCTCCACAGCCAGGGCTCAAATTCCCCTAGACCTGATTCCAACTGTCTACAAAGCAGACACTCTGACAATGTTTCCGCCTGAGTACTCGGGAGACTCTGGCCTGTCATCTCCTTCGGGAGTGGTTACTGGAGGTGTTGGGATGCTTATTATTGCTGTAGTCACATAAGGTTGTTCACAGTTTAGTTTAACACATTCTTCCATTTTGGCATTTAAACTGGATCGGCTGATGAGGGAAGAAAATAGATTTAAGAGGGTAAGTTGTTTACTTAAAAATGTTTTTGCCTACAATACAGGTGTACATGATGTCAAGTTTATAAGTGACTTTTTAAATGTCTAAGAATAATCACCATAATTTTAAGAAAGGAAGCACCAAACCTTAACATACAAGGTGGGCAAAAGTAGGTCTACAGTTTTTCCCATGAAAAATAATACAATAACCTATCTCTGCATACAAGGTGGGCAAAAGTAGGTCTACAGTTTTTCCCGTGAAAAATAATACAATAATCTATCTCTGTATATATAAAAGCTTAAGCGACCATTAGGACTGGTCAAACGAATGGTCAACTGGTTGCTATGACGTGCACTGAGCACCAGGGGGCAGACTCTCAATGTAGGAGCTGCCCCCTGGTGGTCAGTGCACTCCCACATCCAACCTCCCATGGTCCCTCCTCCTGGCCCACTGGCCTTGATGGCCCCATTGGGACTGGGCAAGACGGCCCCAATCGGCCCTGATGACTCTCCAGGCCAAGAGACCCCACCTGTGCATGAATTCGTGCACCAGGCCTCTCGTTAATAAATAATAATGTAAATAATAATGAAACTCTGTTTCACATACAACTACAAACCTATGTTTATCCCACTCTGTATGTTAAAGTGAACATTAGTCAGGTCCCTAATCATAAATGAATGTGTAAAAACCAGCTAAATTCGATTCCATCAGTGTTTTTCAAACAAATGTTATATAAAAATGTAAGAAGGTATGTTTTTGAAACACTGAGTTGAACAAAATAAAATAGTTTTCTTTAAGACAGAATCTCTAAGAGTTTTGAGATACCATTATGAAAGGGAGCTATACTGTAGATATGCCTCAATTATTTGACCACAGCATCATTTCACTATCTTGTCCCTTTGGGATATAGGGTGCCCTTAAAGTTTTCAACTTAGTAACACCCAAATGTTAAGAACCCCCAAAAGTTAGCCATTACTAATACTTAAAGGCTTTCCCAAGTGGTATTCTTGCATGAGTTTTATACTCTAAGTGGTGAGGGGGTAGGGGGAAAGGAGAAAGGAGGGCATACATGAGAACTTCAAACTATTTTATTTTCATGAAAAACTTAATTTAAAGGTTTATGGCCTAAAAAATTCTTTCTAAACACTTCTCCATTTTCTACATTGGAGTGGTAGAATATTTTCGAGACAGAAATCTTTCATTGCTCCAACATTTAATATTCTGATTCCAGAGATATCTGATTGATGTAAATCAACATAACCCAAATTCAGAATCTCATCCAGGTTTTCCACAAAGATTATTGGATACCACCAAAGAAATGGCACTCAATTATTGGTTATTAATCTAAAAAGAAAAGCTACTTAATTTGAAGAACAAAGTAAAATTATTTGGGCCAAATTGATTTTTTAATGACTTGTAAAAACAAGGAAATAAAGAGAAACAAAAGGAAAACACCAATGGAAAAATTTCACTTCAATGGTCCATAAACTCACTAGACATACCATTTTAGCATTTCACTTATCTTGCTTGGAATTGGATTGATTTTTGTGTTTATTGTGGCCAAAATACTTTTTTTGATCAAAATTGTATACTGGTTCAAAAGATTTGTGTAGATATAGTTTCCAGTTTTCACTGTCACAGTGACTGTTGATTTATTTAAAGGTGCTGTTGAATACTTTTTAATCACATCAATGTCAGTTTCACTGGTCTCTTTCAGCAGTGTTAACTATCATTTCAGGCGATTTGTTTTTACCTATGGGGCTCCTGGGTATAGGAGTGTCTGTTCAAATAGGAAACAGCTGTGGAATTGAAGAGGTAGAAATGCATTTGTGGTTGCCTGCCTGCCTTATCTTTTCTCTGCTCTTTTAATATTGCTACAACTACTCTATGACTCAAGGAATATTACAGTAGATCCATTTTCCTGCTTGTTGCAGTCTAAGTCTTGTCTCATTCTAAACTCTAGGAACTAGGATTTAGATGCCACACGTGTAGCAACACAACTGCAGGTGGAGATATGCTCCGGGGACCACACAGGTGTGTGTCCACAGAGATTAATCTACCTGTTAGATAGCGGGTTTCTCTCCACACATCTGATCTGAATCGTACTGAGTTCTTGCACACTGCCTCGATGGCTTCCTGACACATTGGCACTTGGGATGCGGAAAGTTTTTTTGTGTCGTCGTGAACAGCAAGTGCCGGTGACTCCTTGTTGTGAAGAGAGAGAGGGACTATGACTTGAAGGACGATTAACAGTGGAAACCTCCATGCAGCTTTCTTCAAACACTTGTTCATCCACAAACTCGTGATTCTGTTCCATAGGTGAAAAAAAATGTGAAGAAAGGGAGAAACACACTTTAACTTTAAAAAAGCAAATGAATAGTTTTATTTTTAAAACTAAAAAAATGTCCACATACATGTAGACTATCCAATCGACAACTAATACCATTTTTATAAAGATTAGAACATCAAAGCTACCTAATACTGGCATTTGTGGGAAAATAACATCTCTCTAGTTACACCTTGAGATTGGCACATGAAGGCTGATTTAATATCTATCGGCATTTGTGGGAAAATAACATCTCTCTAGTTACACCTGATTGACACATGAAGGCTGATTTAGTATCTATTTGTAAGCTAACTTTATCTTGAAATATCATTTATTTATTTAAACTGGAGATTATAAACTAAAGAAAAAAACCTGAAAATGAATATAGATAACACCCACAAAAATGTGTAAATTCACATTGACTTATTTTTAAACAGATTGAAATTATGAGAAAGAGACTATTTTAATCCAAGTTAGATTGTCTGTTATATAAAAGCAAATAGTTTCACATGGAATTGAAAATACTTTTAAATTAGAAAATAAGGTACCTAGGACACTTCCCATTTCTTTAGATGTTCCTATAAAATTCTCAGTGAAGAGAAATATATGATTTATTAAACAAATACTATATATTTATCTGCAAAATGTGTCACTTTATGTCTGACTCAGAAGGGGTTAGCACTGAACTTTCCAGGTCTCCTTTCTTATCTTTGTGACATATCACTAAGCGTGTTCAGAATCTCTACCTGTGTTTAGGGTTCTAGCCAAGAAGCAAATAGTGATGGAAATAATTTCATATTCTCCATCTTAGAAAAACACAGTGTAAAATTTGCTTTAAAAAATATTTGAAGCAAAGCATTGTCTCCTAAAATGCTTATGGAAGACTTTTACCTCAATAGTATAAAGGAAAATATTTTTGGTCTAAGCTACTAAAAAATGACTTCAATTACTATTTTTTTCTTTGTGTTGGTGGGAATAGTCTTATAATGAGAGACTTTGCACATGCAGAATTCCACTTAACTATCTCTCAGCCTAACCATTAGCAAAACAATTGAAGCAATTCACTGGCTAATAGGAAATAGATTGTTTTAGTTACTCATTTTGTCATTTCTTTGCTGAGACAAGCATTTTGAAGTAAACGAAATTTAGCATTCTACAGTTGAAAGTCTGGAGAAAAATATGTTTAGAGAAGATAGAGTTTTATGTTAACTATTAAATTTCTAAAAAAAAATACAGTTCAGTAAACTCTGTTTTCTTCTCTGGCAATGCACATCTCACACACATAATGTAAGTTACAATGCATGAGGTTCTAATTTGTCTCCTCAGTGACTGGAAGTGAAGAAGTCATTCTGCTGCTGGTTACCATATATTTTCATAGGCAGCTCAATTTAAACTGTATCAATTGGTATTAAATAATGTTTGATTTAAAAAGCCCTAAGTGGTAAAAAAGTAAAAAAAATTAAAATGAAAGAAAAGGAAATAGTCATAAATACATTCTATTATTAATGTTACTTATTTAAATGTCAAAGGTTTACATTAGGAAATTATAGACCTGTCCGTATTTTTATTTAAAATGCAGCCACAATCCTGTAATTTCCCTGTTTAAACCCTCAAATAATTTTCCATTTGAGATGAAGATAAAAATTTTGCACGTGCCTCGAAAACCTAGCATGAGCTAGTCACCGCCTTTCTGTCTCCCCGTGTGCTATGCTACACGCTCTCCTTCCTACCACCCTCAAAGTCCTCTTGGAGCAAGTTCTAGCCTTCCTCGGGTTACATCACCTTTTAGCCCCTGTACTTCTTTGCCTAACTGGCTCTCAGTCATCCTGTGGGTCTGAACTCAGGTTCCTCCAGAAAGCCTTGTCTGATTCTGTACCCTCTGGTTCCATCCTCTTTGCCCCCTACACCGTGGCCCATTGTTGCTTTGCTGCTCACTGCCCATCCCTAGGCATATCCGTGCTTTGTCCCCCCATAGAGATTGATGGGGGTAGAGACCACACCTGACTTCCCGGCATATCTTAGGTCTTGGCTCACTGTCTGGCACATGGTAGGCAAGTCATGCATATTTGTTGAATGACTATATAGGTAAATGAAAGTAAATGAATACATGTATGGGCAATCTATTGGAATTGAGAACACAAATATGCATCTCTGGTGAGTGAGTGAGAAGACTTGATCCAAATACGGTGAAAGTTTCGTTCTGCTCTGTGGTCACACACTAGGACGTCTTTTGACAAGCCAGCTAGGGAAAGGATGGCTTTACTAAAGAGGAAGTCTAATTGGGAGCCTATAAATGGAGAAATGCACACTCAATTCTCAGCCAAAGGGTCATGACACTGATTCAACACCATTTTTTTCTTATGAGAACAAATAATTTTACTATATGTATTCATTATACCTGTGAATTACAGAGATGTTTATATTGCGCTAGCCAGTTTGGCTCAGTGGATAGAGCCTTCGGCCTGGGGACTGAAGGGTCCCAAGTTTGATTCCAGTGAAGGGCACATGCCCGGGTTGCAGGCTAGATCCCCAGTAGGGGGCATAGGCAGCCGATCAATGATTCTCTCTCATCATTGATGTTTCTATCTCTCTCTCCCTCTCCCTTCTTTTCTGCAATCAATAAAAATATATTAAAAAAGAAGAAATGCTTATATTTCGTCATTCTTTATTTTGTATTATTGCTATTGATATTCCCTTCATCCAGATGTCAGGAACACTTGAACTCCATTAATATTTTATATTTAATTAGCATTTTCAAAATCAGGGTAAATTACCTTTAAAAATATGTTTTTATTGATTTCAGAGAGGAAGGGAGAGGGATAAAGAGGTAGAAACATTGATGAGAGAGAAACATCATCGATTGGCTGTCTCCTGCATGCCCCCTACTGGGGATCGAACTCAAAACCTGGCCATGCACCCTGACCAGGAATCGAACTGGTGACCTCCTGGTGCATGGGACAACGTTCAACCACTGAGCAACCCCGGCCGGGCAGGGTAAATGATATTTTATAGGACTTGCATTTGGCTATTGGAAAACAACTTTCCATCCATATTACACTAGTATTTTAGACTAGAGTGAGGATAGCCACTAAGGATAACAACATTTTAATAAGTCTCTCAAACACTTTCCAAATGGAAATGTCACAACAGTCTTTTGAAGTAATTTCGTGTTTTGTTTTCTTTCGTTTTTGTCCTTTACTCTATTTTCCAGTGATGTGGGCAGTGAAGTCCTTCCTAGGAGGACTGAGTATTCACAAAAGCAAATGGGAGACTGTGAGGACCGGGGCAGGCAGTGATGCCGGTTCCTTACCGTGGTCTTTTCCAAGCAGTGAAGCAGGTGGTGGTGCTGGCTTTCAAAGCTGGAGCCGTATTTGCTGACAAAGGCCTGCTCATCCTCAGAGGACTGTGAACACAGAGAAGACAGAGTCTTTTCTATCATATTTGCAAACAATGAGAACCTCAACTGCACATTGCCACAGAGAGAGAGCTGTCCTATTTCTTGAGATTAAATGTCAGCATTTTATTATTATTTATTTTAGACAGAAAGGCACAGCCTGGCAGTTGCTTTTAAGTCTGAGAATCATTATTTACATTTTTTCTTTTCAAATTAGCAGTCTGGTTTTTTAGACTTGCCTCCCTGAACAGAAAATTTAAATCTCTTCTACTCTTTCAACTACCACTTGACTTTGAAAACCTGACAGCCATTATTTTTGGTTAATAAAATTTAATCTAATACTTAGATAATCCTGGGAATGGCATTATGCTCACCTAAATAAAAGCTATTTTGTAAGTAACAATTATTGGAATCCTAAATATTAAAGGAAAGTTTTGAGCTAAAAGTGGTTTCTCAAATTGTATTTCATACTGTGTGATATTTATAACACTAGATGGTGTGCCCTCCCATTAAAAAAAATAAAAGGAGACATCATGCTATCCCCTACTCCCACTCATATAAACTTTAAGGAACACAACTAATTTTTAAATAAAAAATAATTAGGTATTTGAGTCATTGAGCGTTTTTTACCTTTCCCATGTAAAAAGGGTTCTAAACCCAATCTGACGTGGTGGGGGTTAGCCCCAACACCATCAAGCAGGGAAATGGTCTGTGTACTAGTGGTGTCCTACAATTCAGCTCAAGTTGGACTCTGTCTACCTGGAAACAGCATCATATTACACAGGTTGAGGGCTCAGTCTTGCAAGACTGTCCTTCACTCTCCTCTCCCCACCTTAGATTCCAATTGCAAATGATCACCTGGGCTTCTGACCATCTGGCTATAGGTTAGAGCAGTGGTTCTCAACCTTGGCTGCACATTAGAGTCACCTGGGAATCTTTTTAAAATCCTGATTTCTGGGCCTCATCCTCTGGAAATTCTGTTTCTTTGTTACTAATGTTGGGGCCCCATCCCATAATAAAGAAACAGAATTTCCCGAGGATGAGGCCCAGAAATCAGGATTTTAAAAAGATTCCCAGGTGATTCTAATGTGCAGCCAAGGTTGAGAACCACTGGGTTAGAGGTTCTAGTGATCTCTCCTTGAACTTTAGATGCCAATTGCAAGTGGGACAGTTTACCTGTGCTTCTGACCAACTGACTATAAATCAGGGATTCCCACAATCTGCTCCTTGAGTTTGATTAGTTTGCTAGAGCGGCTCACAAAACTCAAAGAAACATTTTACTTACTAGAGTAACAGTTTATTATAAAGGCATATAATGTGACTCAGGGAGAGCCAAGTGGAAGAGATGCATAAGGCAAGGCATGTGAAAAGGCTGAGGGCATCTGGGCTCTCTGAGGGTGCCACGCTCTCAGATTGCGAGCATAAATAGCTAGATATTAATAAAGGAAGGGAGCAAAGGGAATCAGACATTAAGAAGCCTAATCAACTAGGGAGCTGAATCAGACATCATGCCTAATAAACCAGGTAGCTGAATTGAACCATAAGCCTAATGAAGTCTGGAAGTGACAGCTTCAGGCTCGCCAAGGGATCACGGCATTACCCCACCAATGGGATCAACACCTCTCCCTTTCCTGTGTTGGGTGGAAGGACTAGCTTTCCAATCTCTCCAGTGTACAACCAGCCCACTTGTCCAGACTAAGGGAGGTGGGGGGCGGGGGAAGTAACTGAACAACAAAGGGGAAATTCCTCTGCTGGGCACATGCTCAGTAGAAGCCAAGATGATGGGGGGGGGGGGGGGCATTCCCCCC